TGCGTTGTTCTTTCTTGATTTGTCCACGGGCCTTGGCCTTGAGGTCTATAACCTTTGATTTCGGCGGGGGTATCCCTCTTGACACTCGTCCATCCTTTTGTCAATTCCCTCTTGCTGGGGATATCTTTCTTGACACTGGCCTCGTGCTTGTTCCTTGCTGACTATACCACTTGGATGTACTAGTCATATCTCGTCTTGCATAATTGGAAAGTTGATGGCAGATTTTGAAGTCATTTCTCACTTGTTCTGACCAAACAGACTCTATTGGGGAATTTTTCTATGAAAGGAGAAAGATAAAAAGGAACAGAATAAAAGACAAAAGAAAGAGATGACTCTCTAATAAGGAAACTATAAAATAAAAACCTATCAAATGCGGGTACCAACTCTAATGGTCATGACATGCACATATGGCCTATCCTCCGTCGTTAATCGCCTTTCACAACTTTCGTCTGGTGATTTCCATCTGATTCTCAATCTTTATTCGACTTGTAGTGTCTGAAGTGTTTTCACTGTCAAGCCTCTCTCATTTTGATTTTTCTCTCAGCTTTCATCGCCTTATTGTGCCCGTGAAGATTTTCACCGATAAAACTCTCTCATTTGTATCACTTTCCAGCTAGGGATTGGGGTGTTACCGCTAGACTCTCTCATATATATATTTTTTTCTACTGGGATCAGAGTCTTTTCTGCTGGAGATCAGAGTGTTCTCCGGTAAGACTCTCTCATTTGTCTAACTTGGCATTTTTTGAAGACTGATCAGAAGGTCTTTCTTTGGACTGTAATGTAGGATCTTGGATAGGCTAAAAAAAGGGTTTTTAAAAGCTCAAAACAAATCGATTTGGGTTCAAAATTTACAACCTTCGGAACTGGATTTCTTTACATCAAGCACAACTTCTGCCCCAGTTTCTTGCTTGGGGATTTTTTAATTTTTTTTGTTACACTATGACCGAACCGTGAGGCGCCTACGTATCCTCTTTGAGGAATCAGGTCGAACGTAGTTCACAATTCCTCTTTATTTTATTTTTTCATTTACCTATTATTTTATTTTCTTTTCTTTCTTTTTCTCATTTCTTGTTTTTTTGTTGCTTTCTTTTTCTTTTTTTTCTTTTTCTTTTTGTAACGACCCGATCGGTCGTTTTGAGATCTGACGCGTCATTCAGCAGTTTGAGGCCATGAGCAGCTTCATCTTAGGTATATTGACTTGAGTGTATGGTCAGAATTAAAATTCAGGAAGTTTGGAGTCAAATCTAAA